GTAGCAGTACATTCAGTCATTTGAGCCGAAAGACTGATGGCAGTATGCAGTGTGGGAAGCCATTATAACTTCTATGATTATTTTATCATATTCATCTGAATTTCTCTTAATTAAAAAATTGTATGGATTTTTTATCATATTCATCTGAATTTCTCTTAAAGATTATTTTATCATTCATCTGAATTTCTCTTTTTTAACTTTTAATGTTTATTTATTTATGATAGTCACACACAGAGAGAGAGAGAGAGAGAGGCAGAGACATAGGCAGAGGGAGAAGCAGGCTCCATGTACCGGGAGCCCAATATGGGATTCGATCCCGGGTCTCCAGGATCGCGCCCTGGGCCAAAGGCAGGCGCTAAACCACTGCGCCACCCAGGGATCCCTCATCTGAATTTCTCTTATTATGCTATGATTATTTTATCATATTCATCTGAATTTCTCTTAATTAAATTGATTGATTATGATTATCATATTTTATGATTATTTTATCATATTCATCTGAATTTCTCTTAATTAAAAAATTGTATGGAAGTATTAAATTCCTATATTGGACACCTGAAACTAATATTACACTTGTATGTTAACTGACTGAAAACTTAAATAAAAACTTTTTAAAAATTCTTATTTTGTCACTGTCTTTGATACAAGTTAAAGAAATCATATCTTTTATGCTTAGCTGTTAGTATATGCTAGTTTATATCCGACTTTTCACCATTTTAAGATTTTATTTTATTTTATTATAAAGATTTATTTATTCCAGAGGAGAGATCATGCACACAAATGGGAGGAACAGGGAGGGGGAAAGAGAGAATCTCAAGCAGATTCCAAACTGAGCACCAAGCCCTACATGGGGTTTGATCCCATGATCCTGAGATCATGATCTGAGCCAAAATCAACAGACACTAAACCGACTGTGCCACCCAGGCACCCCTAACATTTTACTTTTAAGTAATCTCTACATCCAACGTGGTACTGACCCTGAGATCAAGAGTTGCATACTCTATCAACTGAGCCAGCCAGGCGCCCCTCCATCACTTTCAATATTGAATGAACACTTAACATACTGCACATATAGCTTCAAAAGCACTTTTTCCGCATTTAATAAATGTTCCCTGTTCAGAAAATTCATCATGAATTTCACACTTGCATTTTGGGGTTCAAATGTACACAAGTAAAAAAGAAGTAACAATTGATTTTTAACAAGAGTGCCAAGACCATTCAATGAGGAAAGAACAGTCTGTTCAAGAAATGGTGCTGAGAGAACTGGATAACCACATGCAAAAGAATGAAGTTGGACCCCTGCCTCACATGACATACAAAAATTAACTCAAAATGTACCAAATGCCTACATTTAAGAGCCCAAACTGTTAAATTCTTAGAAGAAAATGTGGGGGTAAATTCTCATGACCTGGAATTAGGCAATGGTTTCTTAGATATGACCTCAAAATATAAGCAACAAAAGGAAAAAATGGAGGGGTGCCTGAATGGCTCAGTCTGTTGGGTGTCCAATTCTTTTTTTTTTTTTTTAAGTTTTAAAAATTTGACAGAGAGCACACACAAGAGAGCACAAACAGAGGGAGAGGGAGAAGCAGGTTCCTGCTGAGCAGGGATTCCCAATGTGAGACTAATCCCAGGACCCCAAGATCACAACCTGAGCCAAAGACCAACGTTTAACTGACTAAGCCACCCAGGAGCCTCGTGTTGGGTGTCCAACTCTTGATCTCAGCTCGTCTTGAGCTCAGGGTTGTGAAGTCAGGTCCCACATTGGAGCCTATATATATATATATATATATATACACACACACACACACACACACATATACATACACACACATATATGGATATCATATAAATTAAAATTTTTTTCTTTAAAGGACACTATTAGGAGTGTGAGAACACAATCCACAGAACGGAAGAATTTTTTGTAAATCATATACCTGATAAGGGACTTGTATCTAGAATATATAAAGAACTATTACAACTTAATAAAAAGAAAAATAAGGCAATAAAATAGCCAGAAGATCTAAACATTTCTCCAAAAAGATGTACAAATGACTAATAAGTAGATGAAAAGATTCGCAATATCATTAGCTATCAGAGAAATGCAGATCAAAACCACAATGAGGGCAGCCCTGGTGGTTCAGCGGTTTAGCGCCGCCTTCAGTCAGGGGCCTGATCCTGGAGACCTAGGATTGAGTCCCACATCAGGCTCCCTGCATGGAGCCTGCTTCTCCATCTGCCTGTGTCTCTGCCTCTCTCTTTCCCTCTCATGAATAAATAAATAAAATCTTAAAAAAAAACCCACAATGAGATTCCACTTCACACCCACTAAGATGGCTAGAATCAATCAAAAAGACAAGTAGTGGAGAGGATTTATAGAAATTGGAACTCATATGTATTGCTGGTAAAAATGTAAATGGTGCAGCTACTTTGAAAAGTAGTTTGGAAGATTTTCAAAAGGTTAGAGTTAACATGACCCAGTAATTTTATGCCTACATAATATAACCATGAGAACTGAAAATCTATGTCCACACTAGAACTTGTACGCTAATGTTCATAGCAGCATTAGCTAAAAAATAGTAAAAATGTGGAAAAAAACAAATGTACATTAACTGGTAAGTGGATACGAAAGATGCCATTTATCTATGCAATGAAGTATTATTTGACCATAAAAGTGAAATCCTAGGGATCCCTGGGTGGCACAGCGGTTTAGCGCCTGCCTTTGGCCCAGGGCGTGATCCTGGAGACCCGGGATCGAATCCCACGTCGGGCTCCCGGTGCGTGGAGCCTGCTTCTCCCTCTGCCTGTGTCTCTGCCTCTCCCTCTCTCTCTCTGTGTGTGTGACTATCATAAATAAATAAAAATTTAAAAAAAAGTGAAATCCTAATACATGTTACAACATGGATGAACCTTGCAAACATTATGCTAAGTGAAATAAGTCAGGCACAAAGGACCTATACTGTATGGCTCAGTTTATAGGAAATGTTGAGAATGGGCAAATCCATAGAGAGAAAGATTAATGGTTGCCTAAGGCTAGGATCATTGGAGAGAAATGGGGGAATGGCTGCTTTTATAAAAGGTGTAGGTTTTCTTGTTGGGGTGATGAAAATGTTCTAAAATTGGCTGAGGTGACTGTACAACTTTGTGAACACACCCACAGAACTGCAAAAAATAAACTGGGGGCACCTGGTTGGGTCAGTGGAGCATGAGACTCCAGATTGTGGGTCTGGGCCCTCATGTTGGGTATAGAGATTTGTTTAAAATAAAATCTTTATAAAGAAAACAAACAGCAATCATCCCAAGACTTGAAAAGGTAGTATTTGATAAATCTCACTGCGGAGATTGAGTTGTCACAAGTCCAAACTCATAACTAATGGTAGCTGGGAGCTGAATCTTAAAGGATTGCACACTTCAGATTAAAAAAAAAAATTGAACTCAGTTATCTTAATGCAGAAAAAGATGAATTTCTTTTGCCTGCAAAGGAGAGCTATATTTGTAAGGCACAGTCCACAGTCTCGTTGAACAAAGGCAGAGCTGATCTTACATAATGTTTTCAGAAGCCTTGCGTTGGGGGATAGGAGGTATTTCAGAAACGCGAGCATCCAGCTCTCTATCCACCAACTTCCAGCTCCGTTAGTGTGGTCACCAAGGCTGCTGAACACCCGGCTAACTTCTGAAGCCTGGTCACCGGAGCGAGGCACTTGCTGATTGGCTGTTGTCTGAAAGCGTGGAGCTGTCAATGATTGGCTGACTTTCAGAAGCTCGGCGCTGTCGTTGATTTACTAACTTGAAGAAGCATAGTTACTGGAGTGAGGTTGTTGTTGACTGGCTGATTTTCGGAAGCATAGCCACTGGAGTGAAACTGTCGCTGATTGGCTGATTTTCAGCGCTTGTGTTTTGATGCGAATTTATCTCTAAATAATGGTGGTTACTTGTTCATGACTTGAAACTTGAGCCAAGAAAAGCCCTTTTTTGAAAATGAATAATAGGTACTTTTAATTTCTAGTCTTTTTTTTTTTTTTCCCCTCAGCTAAACCTGCTGGAGGAACCATAGGAATTATCCAGATCTTTTTAGTTGCGGAGGTAGAATATTTCAACTAGTGTTGCCATTTAAGTGATTTAAACTCAGATTACCTTGGAGGAAAAATAGCTCCATATTTTTGTATTTGATTGCGAAAAAGGTCAATACGGGGCACGTAAGGCACCTTGACAAGGTCAATATGCGACACAAGACAAAATACGTCCCCGCTTAAGCGAAACTCCTAATGACCCTAAAAATTACGTATTTCCCCCATTTTACACACGAAAAGACTAAGCCTCGGTTGGATTAGGCCTTTTGTGCAAGACCCTGATGTCGGAAACAGGTCGCACCAGGATGTGACCTGTAAAGGAGAGGGATCCTCTGGAAACCCTTGAGCCCCTGACGCCCCAGCCCTGCGCATGTGTGCGCGCAGTGCTAACCTGGGGTCGACTAGGAATCGGCCGGATGTTTGAAAGGAGGGTGCGCAGCTGATTAGCAGGGGGTGAAGAAAGAACAGCCAGGCACCCACGCCTGGGACATCTGGGGAAGCGAGCCGGGAACGCGGGAAGCTCTCAGGTCCCCGCAGAGTCCCGGGACCCGGCTGCCGCAGCGGAAGGCTTCGCTGGAGGCCGAAGCCGGCAGAACGGGGCGGGGCGGGGCGTGCAAAAGCCCCGCCCCCGGGCGCGTCCGCGTGCGTGGCTGGGGGCGCCGCAGAGAGCCCCGCTCCATGATGCGGGGTCTGAGGACAGGGCGGAGCCGCGGCGTGCAAGCCCTCACCCTGGGGACCAGCGCTCCCAACCTCCGGCCCAGCTGCGTCGCAGCTTAAGGAGGGCGCGGCCCTGCGGCGGTGCGCCCACCCCCATCCCTGCGGGTCGCGACGCCCCCGTCCGCGCTCCAGGCGCGCGTCGGGCCCCACCCCCGCCTCCGACGTGCCCCCGCGCGCCGCGCCCCCCGCCCACCCGGCACGCCCCGCCGCCCCGCCGCCCCGCCGCCCCGCCCGGCCGCAGCGGGCCTGGAGCTGCCCGGCGGCCCTGAACGACCCTCGCAGCGGCAGCGTCCTCCTCCGCCATGGACGTGTACCCCCCGCAGCGGCTGGGGCTGCCTCGCGCTCGGTCCCTGGGCGGCCCCGGCCGCGGGTCGCCCTCCGTCAGGTACGCGGGGCCGAGGCCACAGAGGGGCGGCCGGGCCGGGGGTTGCGGGCTGTTGGGGTCCGGCGACGCCTCCCGCCGCAGGGCGTGGTCCGACATGGCTTCCTTGCGGACGGTTTGCCCTAAACGGCTGCCTAAGGGACGTTTCCCCGGGAACTGCGCCCTGGGTAGCGGCTCCCACAATGGCTCCCCTGTAGACGGCGCCACAGCGACTCCTCCGTGGAGACCCCCTACTATGACATCCTCATCCCCGTAGGTTTCTCCCAGGAAAGATTCCCGCATGGAGAACCTCTGCAGTGGGTTCTCTATGCGTAAATCCCTTCCCTCCCTCTTAGAATATTTCCCCCAGAAACGGCTATCTGTGGAGAGCACCCCTACAATAGCTGCCTTGGGTAGAAAACCCCCAAATGAGTTTCCCCAGAGACGTTTTACCTATAATACGTCACAGTAGGTCTCCTCTAGAGCCTTTCCCCTTGACAGCAGCATCCCTAAAGCGTGCCCCCCTCCCGCCCCCTACATACAGACATGCTGACAGCATCTTCCCTATTGCGTGTTCCCCCACCTCCCTGTGCCCCAGCCTGCATCGCGACGCTCCCTCATTCCACAATAGGAAGCTCAGGTTGGGGGGGAGGCGCAGGAGAGAAAACTAACTGGATGAATAGGAAAAAGAGGCCCAGAACCCCCGAAACTGGCAAACCCCAAGCCCCTGAAGAATTGGTGGACCCTGCGTTCTTGAGGCCAAAGACAGAGCCACTGGGTGCCTCGGTGCGGGGAGGGTGATAATGGGGAGGGTCCCCGCGCCTTTAGTTATAGGAAGACCCGTTTCCGATTTCTGCTCCCAGTGCCTTTGGGCCTGACCTTGATAGTCTGGGCATTGTTTGCGATGGAGCTGTTCTGGGGCCGCCAGCTGAGTGTGGAGGTTGGAATGAAGGAGCATTTGTGGCAGAGATTGTTGGTGGGGAAGAAAGGAGAGAGAGAGAGAAAAATGGGCTTTGGGGCTGCTAAACTGTCATTAAAACAGAAGGGGTTTTTTGTTTTGTTTTGTTTTGTTTTGTTTTGCTTTTTCTCTATTTTAGCAACTTAGCAAAGCAGATATGTTGTTTCCTTGAAAGGAGGTTGTTAACTTACACGTTAAAATGGCTTTTCTTGTATCTTTGTTAGGGTACTTAAGGCGTTGTATTTTTAACTTTCTGCTTGCCAATCTGTTTTTTTGTTTTTGTTTTTAACAAGAACAAATTCATGGAGAGCAAGAACTAAATCTTAAAATCCTGTCTATTACTTTCTGACCTTCCTTCCTCCACCTCTGTTTGTTGAATGAATAAAGGTTGGGGGAGATAGGGCTATATACCCATGGTTGCACTTGAGGGTCCTAATTTGCTTCTAATTTAGCAGATGACATTGAACTCCTGCTCTGCTCTTCAGTGGAATTCCTTGTGTTCCAAGTGTTTAGCTGCCTATGGTAACCATCTCCAATCTGTCCTAACATTTCTGGCAGCCACTTTCACTGTTAGAAAATATTTGAACTTTGTACAGGGTAGAAACTGCACAAGATACTTCTTTTTTCTTTTTTTTTAAGTAGGCTCCATTCCCAATGTGAGGCTTGAGCTCAAGACCCTGAGATCTAGAATTACGTGCTCTACGGACTGAGCTAGCCAGGTGCCCCTGCATGGGATACTTTGGAATTTGGAGCAGCCATCCATTAAATCTAAGCTCTAGGTAGACTTGGGGTTCATCCCAGATCATTTTAAGCTTAAGAATCTTGAGTCTTTGAAACTTTTAGGAGAAAAACTTCCCAGTGAAATCCATCTCTAAAATAACTGCTGCCTTCTTTGTTCCTAGGAGCATGGCAGTACACAGCATTTTTAAATTTTTTTTTTTAAATTTATTTATGATAGTCACACAGAGAGAGAGAGAGAGAGGCAGAGACACAGGCAGAGGGAGAAGCAGGCTCCATGCACCGGGAGCCCAATGTGGGATTCGATCCCGGGTCTCCAGGATCGCGCCCTGGGCCAAAGGCAGGCGCCAAACCGCTGCGCCACCCAGGGATCCCCACAGCATTTTTTAAAATAGTGTTTTTATGTTAGATGAATGTTGGCTAACTTTATTAATCATAAACTCTGAATCTTAAAACAAGTGGTGTGAGTGAAACTTGTTGGTCTTCAGACAAGGGGTAGTGTGAGGAACCCCAAAGCTTGGCTGTTCTATATACCTTTGATAAAAGAAATTGAGTAGAGGTTCTCCTTTACCCTACTTCTGTATAACTGAACATGCTTTTCTTACCCATTCAAGCCTTTTCCTGTCTTTGACATTGAATGGCAGGTATGGGCTCAGCACTTTCCTGTCACCCATATTTGGATTCTTTGCAGCACTCTGACTCCTGAGTGATGAAAGAGGCAGGCCTAACTGGTGAAGTTACATTCCTAAAGACCCATAGATAGTACTTTGTTAGTGTGTGGTTCCCTTCTAGCCATAGAGTTCATTTTTACAGATGAGGAATAGAGATCAGAAGTTAAAATGTTGCTTAGAACCAGAAGCTGCTTTTTTAGGATGTGATAGTCATCAATGCTGCCCATCAGCTATTTTTGGTTTCCACTCCTGGGCATGTGGTACAATTATACTTACTTCCCCCCTTGAAGCTGGGTATAGATTTTTGAGTTCCCTTTGGTTAGTGTCTTCAGGAATAATGTGTATTCCTTCACTTGAAGAGCTTCTAGTGTATAATTTGCCACTATCTTTCCCCCTGTTGTAATGACTATTGGTGCTCTAGGTGATGACTAATCCATCAGTCTGGCACTCAGAGCAAACTTCCAGGTGACCTATGTTTGACTTGTAGAACAAGTGGTAAACCTTCATTGTTTCAAGCCATTGAGATTTTGAAGTTGTTACCAAATAACTATCTTGATTAAGGAGTCAGTGGAAATAGCTGAAATATGCTTTCCTACTTCAAATTTTTTTTCTGCAGAGGGACCTGATCCTGCTCAGGACTTGTTTATCAGTTTAAAATTGTACTGTTCTGGGCAGCCCCGGTGGCCCAGCAGTTTAGCACCGCCTTCAGCCCAGGGTGTGATCCTGGAGACTGGGGATCGAGTCCCACGTCAGGCTCCCTGCGTGGAGCCTGCTTCTCCCTCTGCCTGTGTGTCTCTCTCTCTGTGTCATGAATAAACAAATAAAAATCTTAAAAAAAAATAAATTTTACTGTTCTTTATACAAATAATCCAATATCCACTTGTGCTAGGTGTTGTGAGACAAATAAAGCTGGCCACTGCTGTCAGAGAGCTCCTTTGTAAGTGGAAAGAGACAAAAACAGTACAAATCAAAATACAGAGTGTTGAGAAATAAGTACCAAGGTAAAAATAGGGGCTGAAGGAACAATAATGTAAGAAGGCATAGTTGGTTTTGAGCTCAACTCTTGGAAGAATGAAATTGCCTTTTACTGATACTGTGAACACTGGAATTAGAGCAGTTTTGTGGAGAAAATAGGGTTCAGGTTTGGCCTTACTCATTTTGAGTTACCTGACAGATATCTCTTTGGAGAGATTGAATAGACAGTTTGGATATATTAATCTGGAGTTCAGCAGAAAGATTGGGACTGGAAGTGCTGATGACTCCCACGTTTTTATTTAAATCTATGAGACTGGGTAGAGATCCTGGGATTAAAGGTAGATGGAAAAGACCAACATCCAAGCCCTGGGATATCCTCCTGTCTAGGAAAGACAGTGTAGCAGTGGTTTCCAAATTCTGGTGGAAGGTGACTTGCTGCCTCAGAGGGGAGAAGAATCCAGGACAGTCATGGAAAGCCAAATAATAAGTACTATTGATGGGCTGATGAGGACCAAGAAGAGAATATTAGATTTGGTAACATAGAGGTCATCAGTGACCTTGACAAGAACAGGTTTGATGCAGTAGATTCAAGAGAAAATGGGAGAATTGAAGACAGTGGGTATAGTCAGTCAAAATGATGTTTCAAAGGTGTAGAGCAGAGCAATAGTGTTGGGGCTATAAGAGAGCAGAATAATAGGGCTGTGGCTGTCAGAGAAAGCAGAGTAATAGGGCTCTCATTGGAAGGGTAGAGGTGTTTGAGTTCTTTTTGTTTTTAGGTCGACAGACATTATAGCCCACCTAAAACATTTGAAGTTGATGGGAATGATGGAGTACAGAGGGAAAAATTAATGATTAAAAGAAGGGACAATTGCAGGGGTGAAGTCCTTGAGGTGTGAGGGAATGGCATCTAGGACATCAATGGATATGTTGGCCTCAGGCTAGATAAGTGCGTGGACTGTTCATCTGTGGTAAATATATAGACCCAAATGTTGGTGCATTGGTAGCTTGATGGTGCGAGAAGGTAAAAATTCTCTTCTTTTTACTTCTGCGTTTGCAGTTAAATAAGGCAGATCTTCAGCTAAAAATGAAGAATAGAGAAGGTGTTAGAAGTTTGCAAAAGTGTAAAATCATCCAGGAGAGTTGGGAAAAATGAGTTGAATAAGGAAATGTTTTAGGATTGCCAGGCAACTACAAGTGTCCATTTACTGTTTGTTGTCATAAATTTAAGGTGAGACCCAGTTAGAATGGTTGTATGCTTTTCCTTCAGCTATGTTGAGCTGTTTGGATGTGTACATTGTAGAAGGATGTGGCTCAAGGAGGATAGAGAACATCATTGGAAGACAGGAGTAAAGGAACTGAGAGGTAAGGATAGTGGGAAGATTGTCTTAGTGCTTACTGAAATTATCATGAATGAAGATGGGAGTAGTAATAGCAAAAGAGATAGTGACTAAGAAGCTAAAAATCTTTAGGGAATGTGGAGAACTGAGTAATGGCCCAGAGGTTTGTAGCTATTTGTAACAAGAAGGACTAGTGGGTTTTATTTGATGGCATGAAAAAATGAGCCACATGAAATAAAGAAGTTAAATAAAATAATTAAGTGATTGATTTTCTCAAAACCGGAGGGCATGAGTTTCCAGATCAAAAGGAATCTCCATGAAATTTTTGAGTGCTATAAAGTCAAA